GTAGCACGATCACAAAACATGCGCATCGAAATTAAATATAAAACAGCTTCATTATGAAATCGCTGTATATATGTTAATATACAGTATTAAAATGGATATCAGTTCCGAACAAGTAAACACTGCAAAACAAGGTCAAACGGCCTTTTTTAATAGGCTTACAGTTGTGTACTTGGTGGATTACTGGCTAATATAGATATTGGTAAAGTTATGCACAAACTGATGTATGTATCGTACTTTTGGTGGCCATGTGCTAGTACCTATGACATTTTATTCATCGTAACTAGGCCTACGTTTTGTGCGAACTCGACCATGCTAATGATCTAATCAAGACCCCAATTCAGTTTGCAGTACAGTTCAAACTCCTGCTATGAAATAGGTTTGGATGCGTTTTTGCGTTATATCATTATTAATAATAATAATAATGATAATAATAATAATAATAATAATAATAATAATAATAATAATAATAATAATAATAATAATAATAATAATAATAATAATAATAATAGGCCTATAATAATAATAAACATGCTTGCACTAGCTATATAATCGTATTCTTAAACTAATTACGCACATCGACGCGACAAATGCCTAATTGTTGGAAATTTTGTTGTACGAGACATACGAAGAGTCATATTAAGGATAAAATCTCCAAATTAAGGAGCGGAAACAATTATTATGAGAAATATACCGAATAATGAATTTATTTATATCAAGATCATTTACCAAGCCATCAATCAAAATCAGAATAATCTCTCCTTATTGAAACGTGTTGAAAGTTCAAACGATACAATAGCCTCATGTTGACTAGTAATGGTCGAGTAACCCTATAATCAATTCAGAACCACGTTTCTTAAACATAATTTACCTGAAGTTATAGTATTAATAATCATTATTCACTCATCGTACAAACATTAAAAAATCGATACTATTCTGTTAATAAGTTGTATATAAACAATTTCTTTATATCTTTTTATATTTGTATTTTTTAAAAATATTCTTTGTATGTATTTAAAGGCCAACTCAGACAGCGTCGGCAGGCGCAGCCGACCCGATTTATCGTCGGGGGCAGTCTTAAGCCGTTGTGAGAAATATTAAACATACGACGCGATTTGTTGTCGCGTCGGGTCTGTGTGAGTTAAACGCAGACGCGATGGTGTGCGTCGGGGGAAGTCGCATCGTAGAATATTAAACATGTTTATAAAAATATATATGGCAGGTACGCTCCTTCTATGATTGAAATGACCTGATGCAAGCACGAACTCCTAAGAACCAAACCAGTTCCGTTTCGATTTATTCGTACGAGAAATTTACCCACGATACAAATAATTAAATAGGTATGTGACGTCTTAAGAATATCCATCCAACTCAATCCAAGTTCAGTCAATTGTACTGAACATATGAATTAATCTTTCTCAACAACGAGGCAAGTTACAGAATAGAGCAACGACAATGGTCATAAATTCTGTAAAACGTTGATTAATATGTTGCGACTATCTTTGATACTACACAAACGCTATAGGCAATATAAAAATTTATAATAAATGCGGCATAAATAATGAGAATGATAAAACAATAATTAAATAATAATAATAATAATAATAATGATAATAATAATAATAATAATATTAATAATAATAATAATAATAATAATAATAATAATAATAATAATAATAATTAAAAAAATAATAATAATAACTAACAAAATCAAAACAACACAAAAAAAGACGGTGTGATTAAGGAGAATTAAGAAAAATCTCCTTGTTCAGTTAATTCAAGTAGAACACAATTTGTAGATACAGGGAAGCCATCCCTGAACATGAATTAACTTAACAAAGGAAGTATAGTATATATGTATGACTTTCTAAAGGAAATATAAAGTGAATAATAAAGTGATAAAATAAAATGGCAAATCATAACCAGGAAATATTTCAGTATGAATCGCACCTACATATAAATAGTTTATCTATATTAATAGACTACATAAATCATGATGATGAACTGCAGATATGCAAAGAATAAAACATTACATATAGTACTACAGTAACTATACTTTAAAAAGTTTACAAGGGATAAAAATTTAAAAAATAGTAGTAGGCCTAGTGCAGTAATAATAATAAAAATAGTAGGCCTAATAATAAGCAATAATAATGCAATTAATGATAATAAAAAATAAAGTATAGTAACATCAGTCTACAGGGTTAGACTTAATTTGTAACCTTAATGCCCATGGCCTTTTTAAATAATATTTACATAATTCATCAAATATTGTGTGTCCTATAATTACTAAATTTTCGGAAAACATAGATATGATCTGGGTACAGTCCCCACCTAACATATGAAATAAACCAACATCTTCATTTGACCAAAACAGATTCCATAACTCTGAAAATGATAGGCCTACATGGGGCATAAATTATGATGATGGTGGTGATGATGATGATGATTATGATGACCATCATGATCTTAATAATAATGATAATAATAATAATAATAATAATAATAATAATAATAATAATAATAATAATAATAATAATAATAATAATAATAATAGAAACATATGATGATGATCATCATCATCTTAACAATAATAGTAAAGATAATGATAACGATAATAACATAATACTGAAAATGATAAATGAAGATCATAACAATAATAGGGAGATTTCGCAACCTTACGAAAAAGGTAACGAATACGAATACGTCATTATCGTTATCGTGTCTCAAATATTCTTGAAAATATGCTGTAAGAACCGAATGATCCTTGATTCATGCAAAGGGCATGAATCGCTTACGTTGTAGCAGACATGTTACTGTAAAGGAATGGTTGTCTAAAAATGTGATGACGTAACAGTATTCGATATGAAAATATGCGAATTAATATAATGATAATTATAAATTAATAATTACACGTATACAACACGCCATGCAAAAAGTATATCAATTTGGTGGTTGAACCCCAATGTAATTCATACTATTTTGCATTAGAATGAATCTAATGAAAGACAAAACATAGGCCCGGTTTAATAATTAATTTATAAAGAATTTACATTATAATCGTTGTAGCGGGTGACATTTAGTGTACAAGGGTCTCTCATTTATTCGTTTTATTTTGTACAAATATTTTACCAATCAATATTGATACGTTTTTAGTACAATAATTAATATTTTATACGCGTATTTTTTATGGGAAAATTGTTGTGGGCTTTGCACGATCAGTGACCCAGTTTTCTTACAAGATGTAATTTCTATTGTTATTTTTATGCTGAGGCCTAAAGTGAGTTGCAATGTAATGTCAATAAATTTCAGAAATGCCATGAGGCGATGAGACCAACTGTTATTTGTTGCCCAAACGTCGCGGTTCGATGACGACACATTATTATTATGTTCATAAATGGTTTTAATAAACGCCTTATAACAACAATATAACACTTGAATGCTGATAGATTATCAGCGAAACGTCGTGTGAGTAAGTTTTTCTTAATATCTAAAAAATATATTAACTGGATCATCAAGAAAGAAGAAATCAACTCAATATAATTTTGTTTCGCAAATGCCATGGATGCGATGGCATCACCAAAACATTTTTTTTGTCCAATAAATTCCGTAGTTGTGCGATGATATGGAAACGGTGCCCAAATGCTAGGCCTATTAGACGACTGCATTATGTTGCACAAATAGTCGACGTATTAAAATGCCATACTGCGGCCAACAACAAAAATTAGAAAAAGGGTAATAAGCGGTGTCTATTGATGTAAAAATGCCGACGTAGATATTTGATCAGCGCTTTCGAAACTAACAGCCGTATAAACAATGATGCATGATAGGCGATCAACTATTATGCTGAAATAGAAATGGACGGTGATAGATGTTGATGTCTTGGCAGTGGTGGCTCCAGAAATATTCTGACAAGAAGTATTCTGAATCAAGGGGCCGCCTTGAGCCTCATCCATGGTCCTGGAATAAAATTCCCAATGGAAGAGTCATGATTTAGGATCACCCAAAATTGTGCTTCAAAAAAGATTGGCAATCAAAACAACGTTGTTTGGATCGGCAAATTAATGTTATTTCTCAAACTGCCTTATCGTGAAGTCGGGCGACCTGGGTCCACGCTTGTCTTACAGAATGGGGGGAGTTCCTCACGTCCCCTCCCCACTGTCTTGAATGGTGACTTTAACGATATAACCGTTTTCCTATTGAATTCTCCCAAATTTGTTATCTTGACGTTTATCATTCGGTTATCAGTGTAGCTAACTTATTGGCTCAGTGTTATTTTAAAGACTTAAGTGCATAGTAACATAAATCAAGAACGATCATGTTATGATATTGTTATACACATGCCCACGAATGTTTTCATGTTATAGAATATGTAACAGGAAAATATAGATATAATCTTGTTAGAATTTTCTAGAAATATGTTTGTAATGTCGATCACATCCCCTTCTCGTGTAGTACACAGACTAATGCAATATGAACAGAACCCCTGTCTATTATATTGCAGACATTTTGTATAATCAATTCGCAGTATTAGTGCGTTGTAAGATAAGGTCTTAAGGTAACTTTAAAGTCAACCGGAGCTCTGAGGTTGCAAATCTATGGTTACCAAATTTGCCTACACACCATTGAAAACAGAGAAGAGGACATATATGATACAAATAAGAGACAGGTATTAAGAGGATTGCATAACTGTACCGATAAAAAATTAATTTCTTTGGAAAAAAGTCCATGGCAAATTAAGCTCTACCACGTATTATGCAGGAAGCGATCCATCACAAACCGTTAATAGCATTCGAAACGCCGGTGTGAACGTTGTGGTTGTGTCAGAAAATAATGTTAAGACAAAGTCACAGCAACGTTTGAAACATTGAAATTGCGTTATGAAAATGCATCTATAGGCCTATCTCTACAAAAAAAAAATAAATAAAAAAAAAAAACAAAAAAAAAAACAAACAAACTTCTGAACATCGAACTGCAACGTTATAATAACGTAAAACGTTTACCTTGGGTGTTGCATGTAGTCTTTTGTCCTTCCATTCTTCAATTTCTTTTCTCTTAGCGTCCCATTTCTTGATATCGCTTTTATTTTCCAAAGCCTCACCAATGAGGGTAGTGAGAGCCGTTGCCGGCTTTTTGGCTTTTGGAACATTTTCAAGAGCTAGTTTGACTGCGTTTGCCCACAAACTGCGTTCTTCTTCCTCCCGTTTCTGTTCCTCCTGATCTGCCATCCTATTAATTTTTGTATTCAAATTCAAATTTCATAAAATATCGTATATGGTTTCATCTCGAAAGCGAGGTTAATTCAGCTGTTAATAGGTGAGCACTCCTCGTACAAACTTATACACTGAATCAGAAAAATAAATATCTAATGGACCTGTCGAAATAGTTTCACATACGAAGCAAATAATGTTTTGTAATCCCCATAATTTGTTATATACAAAGTAGCAGTCGTCCTTATCAGCAATATTTTAATATTTTTTGTGAATTTTACATGGTATCAACAACAACTAATTTCAGATAGTCGTTATAAGTAATAATTCCTTCAAATATAGAAAGTGAAAATAGAAAGTATTTGTTGACGAGATTGGTTTATCTCGCTACATGCCTCAATAGCATGCAAGCGGGAATATCTTGCGCAGTAACATCCATGGTAAAGTGACAAATATTGTATTTTGACAGAAATATATTCCGTGTTTCAATAAGACATGCTCCATGACAACGATCGCAACTCCACCGTCAAGAAATGAAAAATAATAGGTCCATGGAAAAAGCATTAATCCCAATACATTGCTTTGAGATACGCTTGACTAAACACAGTATGTAAATTGTTTTCTAGCTTACGAGTATTTGTCTTTACAGGGTTGTGTTATGAATTTGATCAATATTAGTTGTCTGGCAACAATTGGATATTTCAATAAGAAGGTCTTCTTGCTTTTGTTTTGCAATTTAGCCTATAACGCTTCGTTATAATATGAATTATAGAACCATAAAATTTGGCATTCATTATGTAAGTGGAATCAGTAGGTCAACTTGAGAAAACAAAAGAAAAAAAACAAAAACAAAAACAAAAACAAAAAAAAAAACAAAAAAAAAAAACAAAAAAAAAAAAACACGTAGGTTTAGAAACATCATGAACGTTTAGCAACACCAGGAACGTTATCATGGACGTTCTGAAATAATATTGAAAACAAAAGTAATTTTCGGAAATGATGAGAATGTTTGGAAACAAAACGAACGTGTAGAAACAGCGAGAATTGGATACATAAAAGTTTGGAAACCGTAGTGGATCTTTGATAACAACATAAACGTTTGGAAATAACTAGCAATGCTAAAAGTGTGTCCAGACTATCAAATTTTATTCGACAAAAACATGTGATATGCATAAATATCGTCATGATGACATCACATCATGGCCATATACAGGCACATTGTTACTATATGGCATACAGCATTTTTTTGTCAAATAGTGCGGATAGGGGCTAAAGTTTAAGTTTAATTCATTTCTACTGTCTTCTGAGTAGAATTAGGGAGCTTTCAATTTGTGTGACGACGCGACTCTGGAACGGAATCACTCATGCGTGACCGTCCTACCTTGCGCCCTACGTTCTCTACATACGTAGATTTGGCCAAATTACGTTTTAGAATCTACTCGACAAGGTGACCTTAACGTTCTCGCATGCGCAGATGACTTTTAGTGACGTCATTACGTTCGACGTCCTACCGTCTTCGTGCAATCGAATGCTCCTAAATATCATGATGTGGAGTTGTACCTTGTGGTTAAGATGGTTGTTTTCCAATCCCATGGTTCTGGGCTCAATTCCTGCTAATGCCGTGCAGATCTGCACTCTCAGGTGTCTATAATGAGACCAGGTTTATGTACAGTATCTCAATTGTCTGTATGTCTGTCTTGTGAAAGATATTGCGTGAGTAAAAGTAACTTCATAATGCTTGGCTCATGTGGCTAAACAATGATAAAAAATGATTACATATTAAAAGGCTTTATCACTTAATAATTGAAAATTAACGATACCCATTTACAACAGCCTTACAATCACAAAATAACCAGCCATGTCTAGCTAGTCTTGTGTTGATCAATGTTTTGATCGCCGTTGATGGAATTGTTTACGAAATATAGTAGACCAGGTTGTCTATAGTTGTGTAAATATAATAAATGATAATCGATTAACAGGCAATTTACCAATATTTATATCTATACAAGCTCCATTTATACACAAATATCCCTTTATTTTGAGTAGGCGGCACATCACGATCTCATTCTATTATGAGCTGCGATGCACTTGTATTGTGATTGAGAAAAACAGAATCAATGCAAATGCAGCCACTCTTAAAACACTAAACAATAAAATCAATATCAACAATATTAATCGATCAGTCAATTCCTAGTCATTCACCAAATCGATCAATCATTACAAAAAGAACTCGTAGCATATCAACTGCGTACTTATTTAATAGATGACAAATATAGTTTTCCTTTAATTACAATCACGTATGACCTACCATCTGAACACTCGCACTGACAACATATACTTTTGAATAAACTTCGTAATTTTTACATAGATTTTGGCCTATGCGGGATTTTGTCATAGAAAAATTCCAAAGTTTAGGTCCACTTATGTGTAAAAAGTGCTGACTGAATGCAAATGGTACATGAAATTCATTTTTTAGTATACTGTGCTTGCGCAGATATAATCTATGCTGTGGTACTGACATTTTTGTTTAAAATGGAATGTGCATTTTTGTGTGAAATGGAATAATAATAATAATAATAATAATAATAATAATAATAATAATAATAATAATAATAATAATAATAATTTATTGACTCTATACAGACACCATTTACATCAGCGGCACTCATGAGGTGCGTCAATCATCACGAATAATTTAAATGAAAACAACTTAACTTGAAAAATACATTAAAAAAGCACCTTAAGACTGGTAATTTCAATTTATTATATTTGAAACGCATGCTAAGTACAGTGTGTTGACAGATGACCAATCACTGATAGCACTTTGTCCGAGAATAATATTGACCTATTTTCTGCAGTATACCAATGCTCCTATATCATATCAGGAGCCTTCTTTTTCTTTCAAAAATTGTGAGAAACATAACGCAAAATATATAGGACGTCTAACGTTTGGCAGGAACTCTATAATATTAAGTTTGCAAATGTCGTAGATATTGAGTATTTTCTATGTTTTAAATAATGGTTCAGATGTCTGGCTTGTTACATTAAGATTGAATACAGCCAACGAATAAATAATATCATGGTAACATATAACAATGACAATGACGTACCATTCATGCACGAAACCCAGTAGTAGCAATCTATTCATGTGAGGGCGCTATTTGTTTTTCAGAATAGTAAACAAAGTTCATGTAAAGCATCACCGGTTGTTAAAAATCAATAGTATACAGATTATCAGAATTTGAATTTCGTTGAAATTATAAAGATTACCAAATCCATGTTTTTACATTGCTTATTCATTATGTACCACTGTGCTCCTAATGGTAGCGACGGGGGAGCTATGCTTCCCCGACGGGGTGGGGGAAACGGGGCTATATCCCCAGCCCCCTGTCTCTTATACACATCTAGATGTGACCAAAGCCATCACTTAGGCTTAAGTTAAGAAGTCAAAATGAAGTTAGAGATGCAGCAAATGGGACTTTCTAAGTTTTACAACAGACTAATCAGAACATAGTAAAGAATACACGGTTGTCTCACAAACAGTACAGTTCGTTTCGTGGGACCTTTGCAGCAACACTTAAGGGGCGGAGCTTAGCGGAAAGGGCCATTGATTAACACGTAATCAATGAAATGCTATAAATAAATATAGTCAGGTAGGCTAGTTATGTGATGCTTTGGAATCCTATAAATATATTCGATTTGATTGATTAACGTACTTGAATTGTGACTAACAAACGACAGGCTATCATTAACTTAAACACGATTCGCTGGACAGCTATAGGCTTAAATTCTCAAGTTGTTGAATGTCGGATGATAACGCCCACAAGGCAGATACATTATTTACAAGTGAATACCTCCGTCAATGGCCTCCATTTACCTAATGACTTTATTCAAAAGTAATTATGTACTGCCTTTTACAAAATACTGAATAATTGATGTCAATGAAAGTGATATGAACCTCTTGATTACCACGTTGGGGTATGCCGATCAGCCTATTCATGGGACCACATCTGTCTCTTATACACATCTAGATGTGTATAAGAGACAGATCACGATTTATTGTGATTGCTGTTCATAATATTGTGGTCTAAAAAGACAATATTTGCCATTCTAAATATCAAATCTCTCCCCCTGACCTCATGGTTTTTACTCTTGAACCTTGACCTGAGACAATAAGCAACCAATGGGTGCAGACCCCGTAACCTGTCTCTTATACCAACCACATGTGTTAAGTCCCCCACCCCTCGCTCTGACTAATGACCGGACCACTTGCAAAATGCTTCCGACGGCTATATGACAATAGTGTTGCTTTCATTAGGCGGGGGTGGAGGCACTTGTTCTTGTTTTATCATCGACGATTCACTTTTTATCATCGACGATTCATTTTTTTCATTACCGACGATTCACTTTTTTGTCATCGACGATTCACCTTTTTCATCATTGACGGTTCACTTTCCATAATCGACGACTCACATTTTTCATGACCGACGGGTTCACATTTCATCATCGCCGGTTCACTAGTTATCATGGAATTGTTGTTTGACCGGCGTTCCATAGTTTTTTTTTTAACGTTTTTTTGTACTACCGTATATAATTCTTTCTCTGACATTCGTTATGGCGAACGTTGCGAAGGTCTAAATCTGCGCCTGCTGTATCCAGGCGAGAATAAAAATGATTTTAGTGAAATCTCGAAGGAAGATGAGTTTATACGCGGCTAAAATTGACAAGCAAGCGGCGGGGAAAATACTAAAATTTAATGAAAAAGTCGTTGCTTGTACGACGGATTAAAGGCGGTCCTACTTGGAACTGCTCTGATTGGTCAAGGAGGTTTGGTGGATGGATTTCTGGAAAGTGCAAAAAGTGATTTTTGAATTTTCTACCCTAAAATATGTGGACCTTTGCAATTGGAGGAGTGGGGGGAGGGGTTCGTAAGCACCCGTCATCTCATCCCCTCTCTCTTAGTACGGGCTGTTATACTACAGTATGTAATATCGTAAATTGAAATTTCAGCTCTTTTAGACAGGGTATTATCAATTCTCTCTCGGGGCGAATCTGCAGTTCCCCATTGAAAAGGCATCTCCCACTAATTCCCAGCATTGACATTACTTTTCTACAGAAAAAAAAAATGCCCAAACATAAGCAAATTAAAAATATTCCCTTCTTAATAATGCCGGTGTACCGGCAATCACTCAAATGTGTTCCACAGTTACAGGGCTCACTTCAAAGCGAAATCTCACTGGTTATACTATGCCACCAAAGAAAGAACTTGTTCTATATTTCGCTAGATTACACAATGTCGGCTGTATGCTACTATAGCTCTATTTCGCTTATTATAGTACCTCATAACCCAAACATCTTTCCCTAATGCTTGCTATATCCATATTTATGTTTCTATTTCTGTATGCAAGTTCGCAATAATTGAATGCGAAGGTGCTTCAAATTCATAAAAGCATAGACAAATTAAAATTTATAGATTTATAGAACTACTGTTCAGTACAAATGTATTTTTGTAGACATCTTGTCTGCTCACACATTGAAATTACTACAATAAAATGTTTATATTACTGCATGGCTTTTGCCAAAATGCATCCCAGTGGCGGACTCATTGTAATAATCATCATTATCTTAAAATTATTATTATTATTTTATTAAGCCTATTATTTGAATTTTCTTGGTAAGCCTATATTATTTGTTTAAAGCAATGTGTAATATGTGGTATCTAAATATAACATTATTATTATCATTATTAGATTCAATGACAAAATCACACCTTGTTGGTTCTACTAAAATCAAAACAGAAGATATAATTGTAGAACAACGTATTACATTGCATTTGATGATTTTACCGAGAGGTCACGTCATAAAATTTAGATAAAAAACCCTCTGAAAATCGTTTTTTTTAAAAATGCATCGTTAATAAAAAAAAAATTTCAATTGCAAGCTAAAGCAGTAGTAGCGAGCTTTGGAGCTTGACGGATTCACTAATCCGTGACCGTCCTACGTTGGTTATATGCACAACATAAATTCGGGCTAAACTGCATTCTAGAATTCCAGAGGACAACGAGAACTCTGTGTTTTGAGCATGCGCAGATAACTTTTTGTGACGTCATTACGTTCTAGGTCGCTGTGCATTCGAAAGCTTCCTAACAATAAATGCTTGTTGTACACCACAGAGACAGTTTTGATAAGGTCTCAACGGGTTTATATTATTCTCATGAAGACTGAACCAACTCTACCAAACGTGGTACACCTCAAGCATTTATTCTTATTGTTATTTTGTATTGCAAACTTTCAAACAATATTTTACACAAAGTAAGAAAACAAAGTTTTGCATTTAATTTTCCAAGTTTATTAGGCTAACCTTGGCAGTCTTTAAAGATATACAGAAAAGATATATTTACATGTCCATTTATTGACAGGGAAAATTCTTTCTCATTAATTCAGATTTTTAATTGTAAGTTAATAATGCATGTAAATATACAAATTTCACAATTCAAATTTGGAACTGGATTTTAAATTTTTTTTAGCTGAATATATTTTTTAATGTCACTTTATTATTAAATCAGCACAAAGTCTTCACTATTTCATCATTTTAAAATAACACAGTTTACAAAAAGCAGCCTAGCTCAGTCAGCTTAACTGGTGGTAGCCACTGTGTGTGCGTTGAACCATGGAGATCCTTTCAGTACTTTCGGTTCCTGGCTCTAATCCATTGCTGCTCTCTTTGCATTGCTGCTGCAAGGTAGCGTAATGGAAGTTTACAATAGCGCATCATCTTTTGGATGGGACATTTAAGCTATTGGTCAAGTGTGTCAATTTGTACATGTAAAAGAACGCAGTAGAATCTTTGGAAAAGAGCAGGGGGTTGTCTTGGTAAAATGCTCAATTCACCACCAAAAGGACCCAGTGGAATACTGGTGAGTCCACAGATTTTGGCTAGCAACAGTACAGCATTCAAATTGAGAATAGTAACTAAATGTTTGTCACTGTCAAAGCAGCATCATTGGTGGCACCAGCACTGAGCTCGGGGTCGAGGTGGGAAGCATGCACCCTCTGTTGCCAGATGCAACTCAAGGTTGTAGGCCTAAACATTAATTTGCTGATCTAACAAAATTTATTGTGATTGCTGTTCATAATATTGTGGTCTAAAAAGACAATATTTGCCATTCTAAATATCAAATCTCTCCCCCTGACCTCATGGTTTTTACTCTTGAACCTGAGACAATAAGCAACCAACGGGTGCAGACCCCGTAACAGGCTAGTTGGAGCCACCACTGAACGACGTATGTTCAAGTAGATTGAGACTGGACGTGCTGCTCAGCGCCTTTACTGATGAATCGCAATCGTTGCTGTAGAGGCTGTCTTAATTCCTTGATGACGGATTCTGCTTTATTCTTCACAACGTCACCTGTAAACATATATTTGATGTGATATCTGTTCTAAAGTTAAGGATTACAATTGAAGGTTTGAATGCAGCAATGGGATTACTTTTTCATGATTGTTTGAATAATATGGAAATGATATATGATTGATGGGAGACTGACTGATTGAATGATTGATAGATGGTAATATGTTAATACTGGGATGGATATTAGTGTAAGATACCTTTCAGAGTTCTGACTGTAGCTTTTGCTGTCCTCACAAAAACAGACAACAGAGCCAAGTAACAACCTCCATGCAAATATTAGGATGAATATTAAGAATCATATGTCATATCATATGATAATTAATATTCATCCTAATATTAAGTATCATATGTCATATCATATACAATTAAAACAAAAAAAAGGTATGGCTGACTGGCCAGATTGCCCAAAAGCAACACAACTTTACTGTCAAGGGCTCTCCTGGAAGCACATACAGTACAATAATACATAATACATTTGAGTATATTAAAATATATATAAATATAAATAGACCATCTCTTTTAACAATTTCATTAAAAAATTAATTTAATTTCATTAAAAAGTTACTAAAGTAAATTACTTATTTAAGTAAAAGATGACAATGAAAAATGACTTGCTCACTGCTATTGTTGTTACCAATTATCTTCCAAAATGATCTAAAATTAAGAAATTTAGACCCAAGTTTCTTTATATATTTTGTATTTTATGTCTTGTTGTTTTTATCCAGTTTTCTACCTCATTTCTAGCAACCGATTTTGTTTTATACCTGTTTATGTTGTATGGAACACAATAAAAGAAACTTGAACTAGAATATACTTATTTTTGGTTGCCATTTTCTTACAAATAATGAAAATCTTGATGTTTTATGAAGGGCACAGGGAGGTTTTAAAGATGAAAATTTTAAAAATGTTCTGTTGTTTAAAAGTGTCAACATAATTTAAATATATTTATTTTATCAATTGTATGTTCTGTGGCATATCTAGGAGAATTGGATGATGATGAGGGGGGTGGGGAGAGAGTGGCAAAGCTTGATAATTAGGTCAGGGGAAACCAGCTTGCAAAATAAGGTGATTTGAGGTAATTTTGATCTACATGACCATGATATTTTTTTTTAGGGGGGGAGGGGAAGTAATTTTTCTTGGGGGAAGGGGAACCTCCCACAGACCCCCTAGATACACCACTTACTCAGTAGTAAGGCTGTACATTGCCAGGGCTCTCTGTGTTACATATTGAATAAAAAAAATCTTTAAATGATAACTAACGACTGATAGGTAATAATGTCTTTATACTACGATGATTGATGGCTGATATATTGACAGGTGATAATGCATAATTACTAGCATGATTGATTACTGACTAAATGTTAGATGAATTGTAATGTGTTGATTGTGACAACTCAAAGATTAATAAGTTAACATTAGGATGACTCATATGCGACTGATCGATAATGTGTAATATTGGGAAAGAACAGCATAGCTTAGTTGGCTATAGCAGTCACGGTTTGTGCAATGATCCGTGAACCTTTGGCCCAATTCCAACTGAAAAAGAGAGTGGTAACCATTAGTGTTGCATAAATGCATACATAGAGGGCCCTGTGAAGGATACAGAAAGTCGCATATCGGGTCCATGTGTTGGAGATGGGCACAGTTCTTGTCAACTGCAGCTAACATGTCATAGAACTCACTGGTAATCTACAAAAAACAAAATGATAAAGGTTATAAAAAAATGTAGTGGCTTAAATAAATTTCTAATTCTGTCCTAAACAGAATCCATACATACAATAACATCCAATCAGAATCAGTAATTTGCTTAAGACGGTGTAACAATAGCTAATGCTTACAAAACACTCCTGAATGAATGCAACAAATTAGATGATGATTAAACACTTTATTCTATTTTCTTAAAAAAAAAGTAACAGATGGTTTTCAAATTAAGCTTAAATTAGTCTAGAGCTTGTAACAGTGGAGGAAGGGAATGTTATTCCAAGGTGTGGAGGCTGAGGAAACAAAAGTGAGTTTGCAATACATTTAATTCTAAGTGCTTTTATAGTGAGACGTCCTATTTACTTAGCTGAGTGAAACTATCAATCATCGAATGGTGACAAGTGTAGGAGACAATTACAGGAAAGGTTGAAGGTCCAAAAAAAAATAAAAATAAAATGTAAAAATGACTAAAAGAAAAGAGTTTTTTAACTCAACCCATTTTCAAATTCCCTCTATTCATTTACCCCTTCTCAACTTCCTTTAGTTAAGTTTTTTTTTTAATTTGTCCATAACGAATTAAATATAATTAGAATTATAAAGCAAATAAATCCATTGTAATACTGCTCCAGGCACTATTCTATTCATGTTGTCTATCTATACTATACCATTCTATAAATTCATCAGGTATATAAATTAATTCATTATATCATACTAGTTAAATTCCATATGACTTTCCAGTCTAGGTATATTTTCTACACTTTTGACTATTCATAATAATTATCTTATTAATAATATTAATTTTATCCTAGCTAAACAGTAGGCACTTACATTAAGCAAACATCGGGTCCTCTCCTCATGAAACCTCTGAAGGAATGGGCCAACGAGATGACACACAAACAGCAACTGTTCCTCCGTTTTCACCAGTGGATGAACTTCCTTCGTCAAAAATCTAGAATACAAATTTATGCAGTTAATGCTTGAATCCTCAGGAAGAAAATGAACATTTGGAAGAACTGTTGTTATGATCACAATTTAAACTTCTTATACACAATGAAAATACATATAAATTATTTGTATATTATTTCATCAATCAATAAATCAATCAACTGTAGCCCCATAAATTATGTTTTATATATTTCTGACCACAAAATGAAAATAATTCACTTTTTTGCCATTGTGTTATCCAGGTTTTGTACCTGGTTATTAAATCTTATGTTTTGTTTCATTAATAAACACAATACTCACAAAGAAATAGCCAGAATTTAACTTGTGGATCTGACTTTGTTTGGTTTTCTTTTCACTGATGATTTTTTAAATAGAAAAAACTGACTTTTTCTGATGCTTTTTATTTTTATTTTACTTGTTGCTTTTCTTTATCGTACATGTAACATGTTTTTTCAGATATTGCCAAACAAAACCAAATAAAATTCACATTTTTGGTGGCATTTTTTAAACAAAACTTACAGTCTCTGTTACATTAAGGCAGGAGAGAGAATGCAGAATTTGACAGTACGGCTGGAGTTCAGAAAATACATCAGGTAAAATATGAGTATGGTGACTCCAAAGAATGACAAACGTGAGGCCATAATTAAATCATTAGTTAAAATAAGGACATTTCCAGGCATTCCTTTTTAATCTAACGCTAGATACATTTACGTTACCATTTTTTAAAACAAATTTACAATCTACAGATCCACCCCTCTCCCCCCACCCCCCAAAAAAAGGAGAAAACCAAGGAGGTAAAGGGGAGAGAGACAAGATAATGGAACTGAATGTGCAGAATAATTTGTGTACTTGTATTAAATTTATTTTACTATACCACACCCCCTCCCCACCCAGGGCACAGTGTTTGGTACTGCACATGGCCCCTACACAGACTTTTCTCTGAAAATGCCACTGCTATTCTTCAACGTTGCTTGTTTAATAAGTTTAGTCGTCTGGTACTCAATGTAATCCGTACATATTTGCATATACAATTCACATTACTCATTACAACATTACAATAACATTACAACAAACTCTAAACATGAGAAGGCATTACAAAGCATTTTTCTTACATCAATTAAAGGGGCTTAATCTTCGATTATTTTCAAGATTTCTTGATTCGGCGTCACTTGGCTTATTCAGCTTAAGTATTCAAGATATAGACAAACACGAAGACAATACTAATTCATCATTGACCACTGATTATATTTATTGAGCAATACTTACTGGGGGAGGAGAGTGAGTTGGCCTATACTTGAGTGCAGCCAGACGGCATGTGTCAAAGCTAACACGTAAGAACATGGCGCCTCGCTGAATGAAGTGTGTGCAGAGGCAAAATCAAAGATTGCGAAGAGACCTTGAACGGGGCTGCTCATGCCGTTTAAGAGAGGGCTTTTGAGTGTTTGGAGAATGCGGTCATTAATCACTGACAGATACGAGTCCTGAAATGTGTAAATAGTGATAGAACAAGTTAACAAGTTAATGGGCCACTAGTGTAATCATAAAATTGATGTTAAAACAATTGGCATTTTATGTCTCTCAAGTATAGTTTAATGGGTTTGGTTTCAATAATGATCTTCGAACTATTTTAGTCCATCAATTAACCAGGGGTGAATCTGGGTTCAAATTTAGGAGGGGTATAGGAGGGGTAAAAATGTTCTTAACAAAACCCCACCCAAAAATATACATACATAAAAATTTGAGTAGTTGCATACATATTCTTTTTTTTCATGAATCGTTGAACCCAAAAAAGAAAGGGGTCGGTAATCCTCCCCAAGAAAATTTTGATTCCTAGATGGTGGGTAATATGAGCTTTCCCAACTTCCCAACTAAAATAAAAAAAATTCAGCTGACCGCCTCCAGGTCCGCCAATGAATTAACAACATATTACTTACAGGAAGTGAGGTAATCACCAAGGCGACAGCATTAATCCACATCATGAGCTTCTCGCGAGGAATACCAGATGGGCTGGCAATAGAGAAAAATTAATTTACATAAATAATTTAAGAATGATGGTAATAGAATGTTTGATGAAAGAGAAAGATGGGAATTATAAAGAAAAAAAGGAGATATCCATGAAATATATCATCTTAAAAAAAAAAATGAATTAGATGAAATAAATAATAATAAAATACAATAAATATAGTACATACTTCTTCAAAACGACATCAAGTAGGGCATTACTGATGGTACTACTCTGCGGACATAATGCCATCAATTCAATGCAAGTAACGTGTACAGCGTGACTCGCAGCATTTGGAAACTCATTAAAACGCCAGTCACATCCCTTGAACGCTTCAGGAACATCGCCAGAGATTGGTGCATCGCATCAGTTAAGAAAGAAAACAGAAGTTTTGTTATTGTTGACATATGTGGTGAAGACAAACCAAACCAGTCACTCCAATTGTGCTTCAGAGATAATGGCCAAAATATGCTGGAATCTTAAAATGTTTGAAATCTATTTTATCGCACTTAACTTTACACACATCATGCTACGTTGGTACTTTCCCCAATTGCGACGTTAAAACAACATCTTTTTTACAATTTGGTGATGAGAAATATAGAAATCATAAACTGTTTTTAAATAGCTATATGTTTAATCTTCTGTAATTTCTTAATAAAATGTCAGATTTAAACGATCCTTTTATTATTTTATTACATTAGTTTTACTGTTTAACCCTGTATTAATAACTAAAAATCTATTTTTCGTAAGGAGTGACAGGTTTGGCTTGTCTTTGCCACATACGTCAGAGACTGCACTTTTTTAAATTACACCATTTTTAAAGATGGATGACTGGTTTGGCTTTTGTTTCAAACATATTCATGGACATGGCAAAATGGATATTTGAGGTAACTTTAGTTGCATGCCTGTTGATTACATGCAAATGACAATTTCAATGGAAGGGCGGTTGAGAGGACTAGGGGAAAGCACTTTTTTGAGAGCATGCACCCTCCCG